AATACCAACATTACACTGGAACCCTATCCTGCTGGCTTCAAAATACCACAACTGGAGACTTATGATGGGACGAAGGATCCCGATGATCATCTGCATGCTTTCTACTCTTGCATGCAAGCTCAGAACGCCTCTGACGCGTTGATGTGCAAGATCTTCCCCTCTACTCTCCGAGGTAATGCCCAAACTTGGTATTACAGCTTACCTCCGAGGTCAATTAGCTCGTATACAGAAATGACATCTGCCTTTGCCACTAAGTTTTCCAGTAAAAGGTTGATTAGGAAAACTACTTCTGAGCTGATGAGAGTTAAACAGAGCGATGGAGAATCTCTCAAGAACTATATGAGCAGGTTCAATGATGCGGTATTGGAGGTTAGTTCCTTTGATCAAGCTGTGGGGATTGCAGCTGTGATCTCTGGTCTTAAGCATGACAGGTTCAGAGACAGTTTGATCAAACATGCTGCCACCACCTTCAGCGAGGTGAATGATAGGTCTCTCAAATTTATAACTACTGAGGAGTACGCCCTGGCGCAAAACCCACCTCCCTCTAAGAACCAGAACCCAGATTGGAGAGATGACAACCCGAGCAGGAAAAGGATGAGGGTGGCGCAGAACCGAGGTCCGATGTTGACTTCCCCGCCGAGATTCGGAAGGCCGAACTCAACACCCCCACAGCAATCTGCAGGTAAATCTCCAGCTAATTGGACTCCCTTCAATCTGCCGAGGTCACAAATTTTTATGCAGATTAAGAACAAAATGGACTTGAGACGTCCTGGCCCAATGTGAACTGTTGCTGTTAGTCGAGACCATACCAGATATTGTGATTTCCACCAGGATCACGGCCATACTACAGAGCAGTGTAACAGCTTAAAGTCCGAATTAGAAAGTTTAGCTCAGAAGGGAATGCTGAATGAGTATGTTCAGAGAGCTGAACAACCGAGGTTTGTCAGAGAGCAGAGGCTGCAGCCTCAAGGAGTCCGCAATCCCCCAAATAGACAAGGTGTGGGATATCAGCAAGCCCCACCTCCGCTCCCACCACTGGCTAGAATCATACATATGATTACGGGAGGCCTTGAAGCAGGTGGACTGAGCTCTAAACAGCGAAAGCTGTATGTCAGAGAAGTTAAGCATCAAAACCGAGCTCAGAAGCGGAAGATTGACGATGCTGAGTGGAAAAATCAGCCCATTACTTTTACATCTGCTGACCTCGACACAGTTGTTACACCCCACAATGATCCTCTGGTCACTTCTGTCATGATCAACAACTGTGAAGTACAGCGTGTCCTTGTTGACACCGGGAGTACACCAGACATCATGTACTTCCACTGTTTCGAGAGTCTGGGGCTAGATCCAGCATTGTTGCAGAAGTATGATGGTCCTATCTATGGTTTCAACAACCAACCTGTTCCGGTAGAAGGAGTTCTTACCCTCCATGTGGCTTTTGGGAGTGGTCGGACCTATGTAGCCCCTTCAGTCCGGTTCCTCGTCGTCAAGATGGCCTTTTCTTTCAACATTGTTATTGACCGACCTACATTGACCGAAATCCGAGCTGTGGTTTCCCAATCTCACCTCTGCATGAAATTCCCCACTCCTATGGGAATAACAACACTGCGAGGAAATCAGGAGGTGGCCAGACACTGTTATATCACCTCGGTAACACAACCAACCAAGGGCAAAGATAAGACACCCGAGGTCATTCCCCAACGAGTTCCTAATAATCAACAGGTTATGGGTGTAAAGATCGTTGATAATCGACCGGAAGACGAAACCAGAGCTGCTCCGGTCGAAGATGTTGAAGACGTGCTCGTTGATGACAGAGATCCGAGCCGAAAGACGCAGATCGGAACTAAATTGAACCCAGAGGAGAGAGCAGAACTGATAGCTTTTCTCCGAGCTAACAATGATGTATTTGCATGGACTTCGGCAGATATGCCAGGAATTCCAACTTCAGTATGTCAACATAAACTCAGTACCAACCCATTGAAGAAACCAGTGGCCCAGAAGCGGCGTCTCTTCGGGCGGGGGGGGGAGAGGCTTCAGGCTATTAAAGAAGAGGTAGAGAAACTCCTACAAGCCGGCTTTGTCAGGAAAGTTGATTACTGCGAATGGGTGGCTAACCCAGTTCTGGTGAAGAAGGCAAACGGTAAATGGCGAATGTGTATTGATTACACAAATCTTAACCACGCCT